ATAAAAAATGCCTAAAAGGGCTTGCGTGTCGCTACTATCGTCAACGATAGTAATCACTTTGGGTGCGCGTAGTTACTATGGTAAACGATAGTAACTACTATGATTTTTTATTTTTATTTTTTTTACCCTTAGGGGTGTTGTGCATGTTCATTATGGTAAGTGAAAGTAAACACGCGCATCATGATGATACAATTTTCGTTTGCAAAAAGATTTGTCGCCAATCTCATCAAAATATGCAGAATTTTTATGTAGTCTAGGATGCAAGCCTAGGTTGTCTCCAATGACTTTGGTTGGTAACATACATTGAACACGATGTAAGCATTTACTATGAAAGTAATTAAAAAGGGGATTTTGTGTGATTCCAATTTTAATGTAAAGGCAAGTGATGGAATTAATGAGTTCAATCAATTAAATGTAGCAATCCTTAGTTCATTCATGTGATTTTATCCCTATTCATCTCAAGATTCAATACTTTTCCTCTTCCTCTAAATTAAGGTAACTCAACAATCAAGAATTAACCTTAAAATCCCATACGAATTTAAGCAAATTTAATGGACTCCAGCTCTTTTCCCCAAGATTACGCAACCTTAGAAATTAACTTAGGATTAAGTAAATCAAGTTAAGAATTTCATTAAAATGAATTAGGGTTAATTAAGCAATGTCTCCCTCATTCAACCATTAATTCAATTCAAAGAGTTGGAAAACATAAATTCATGAAGGAAAGGGAATTATATTGACATTCATACCCAGGAATTCAAGAATCCATTAACTCACTAAGGATTACAAGAAAGTTTAGCTCTCCATGAGGATGGGTCTTACAAATTTAAGATGAAAACAAAGGGAAATCAATGACATCAATGCAAAAATTAAAGGAAAGTGAAGAAGAAATGTGAATCAAACCCTAGGATTGGTCCTTGGCTGTCACCCAAGGATGACCTAAGCTCTGCAAGTGTCCCCAAAGTGGCAAAAGAATGTAAAAGTGTGTAAAAAGCTCGTACCCTAATTTCTAAAGTTCTATTTATAGTGCAAAAATTTTTCGCCAGTTGCTATGGTCCATAGTGATGATGCGCAGCACTCCCATAGTAGTTACTATGATTCTATAGTGGTTATGCGCAGGTCATCATCCTCTCTAGAGTGTCTACTATCGGTCATAGTGGTTACGCACAGGTCTGGGTGACTTTTCCTTCTCTGGAATGTTCACTTTGGAATCAAAGTGATCACTTTGGTCTGCCCTAGAGTGTCTACTATGGGCCATAGTAGCTACACGCATCACCTCTTCAAACTGGGACCTTTGTAGTGTCTACTATGGAATCAAAGTGATCACTTTGGTCTGCCTTTCTAGATCTAGCTTGCTGTAGTGTCCACTATGGAATCCAAAGTGATCACTTTCAACTTAAACTTTCTCAAATGCTAAAAATCCATGGAATAAGTCTAAAAATTCTTGCACAATTATTCAAATGATCAAAATTGTAAATTATATCTATGTAAATTAACCAAAAATTAAGAAACCTAAGATATTTGACCAAAATGGTGTTTCTATGTTATTTACACTTTCTAAGTCTACTTTTTCTATTAAAGAACACTGAAAAGACAAGTAAAAATCCAATAAAATGTGGATTCATCACATCACATTTAGCTCAAAAATCTTGAAAGTGGATGAAAGTGTTTACTACAAAGAATAGAAATCCATACCTGAGCTGAGAGCGGTTACTATGACCATTGAAAGTACTCACTTCAAAGAGCAAAGATGCATACCTGGATTGAGAGTAACTACTTTTTCTTAAGAAAGTGATTACCTTCTTGATAAACTCCCATTTTCCCCCCAAAGTGACTACCTTAAGTTCTAAAAGTTGTCACTCTTTTGTTGCACTTGATCTTCTCTTGATTTTAACCAAAAATTGGGTCCAAAGTTTGTGTTCTTCCTCTACAAAATTCAGAATTATAAGCAAAAATTGGGTCCAACGTTTGTGTTCTTCCTCTACAAAATTCAGAATTATGTAGAAACACATGTCAAATAACAAAGTTAAGTGCAGACTATAATGTTTATACAGCAGAATTCATGAGATATGCAAAACTCAAATGCAAGACCAATGCTAAATGTAGAAAATAAATTGAAAACTTCTAAGAAAACTATGAGTTGCCTCTCACACGGTACTCTTTTAACGTCACTACCTTGATGCCTTATGATATCTAGTTCTATGAGATACTTTTGTTGGTAACGGTTTAAGTTGTATCCCTATATATTCCTCTTTTTTTTTTAAATTTGTAGCACTTAATTTAATTGGAAACGTGGAAGAAGTAACTCTGGAGGGACATCCAGCTGCTTAATAAACTCAATGAGCTTCTCTTTATGCTCTTCATTGCTTTGATGTGTAGAATATTATGTCTTACTGCTAACTTAGGTTGCTCCCTTGGATATACAATAATGTAATATTCATACTTCAACTGCTCAGGAAAAGGCTTCAATTCTGATGCAGGAGGCAGCTCTAGAGAAGAAGGAAATGTAAAAATTGGAGCTGGATGTGCAGCTTGTAGTTCAACAAAATCAGATGCATAGGTGATTATTGTAATCAAGTCAGCGCATTCTAATTTCTTTAAAGGTTCAAATGCATCATGATTCATTTCCTTAGAACTTGTAATGGCTGCATCATAATGTACCTTCTCAGAATCTGCAGTAACTGCATCAAAATCACTATAAACAAATGTATCAATCTCAGCACAAAAGCTACATTTTGTAGATTTATTACATGCATCACAAGTAAAGGAATCAAAATAATTGGCTAAGCTAGAATAATCAATATAATCTGAAAGCTTAGCCAAATTATCATCCACTAAATTATCTAACAAATCAATATGGCAAACCGGATGAAATGAATAAGGAACAGGTTGCTCAAAATTTTTTGCTATATTAGTAGAAGTAACATGAGGAGTAGGAGCACAATCTGCACTTGCTGGACTGCAATCACTTCTTGGAGAGGTAGCATTAAGATCTTCATCTGTTGGTTGCTCCTCTTGAGAGCCTTGAATGGTATTTCCTGATTTCGAGGCAATGGCACTAATATTCTCTGTATTGAGAACTGGTTATGAAGATAGATTACCAAAACTTTGAGATTGCAAATGATTCAAAGTGGAAGACAACTGTCCATTTGACTAGTAGATAGTTATGTACATTTTAGGTTAAACTATGTATTTAATGAATATCAGAAAGTAAAATATTTTAAATTTGGTGTACTTGTAGAAGATGAACCTAGGGTATTTGTTATGATAGAGATAGATTTCTCTTGTACTATTCCTTTTGACTTCCCTAGGAGTATAATACACCAGACTATCTGTATATATGTACAGAGGTACTGTTAGGACCCCGGTAACTTTTACTTACACACCTATCATGACCACAACAACCTTGGAAGACTGTCCAGATGGACATTTGAACATGTCACTAGTACAGAGGTCAGAGCAAATTCAATAGATCATTATTTGGGTTCAGATGATGATCATGATTCAGAGGATTTGGCTGAGATAGAGAGTTGGCACGGAGTAGATGAGTAGGATCGGTCTTCAGTAGTTGGTTTTGGAGGAAGATTGTTTTGGGACTTATATATTTTTATGGATTGTAAATAGTATGGTTATGTATATATTGTTATAAATTTCATTCATTTTGGCAAACAGTCTGTAGTTTTTAAAGTTGAAATATGTATTGTATATACAAGTTTCTTATGAAGACTTCTAAGTTGTATTTATGATATTTGTTTACTCTTTTTAGTCTTCATTAATGTTGTTATATTAATATTGCAAATTATTTTAAAATTTTCATTTACATACAAAAAAAAAAGAAAATTTCAGCAATTTGTTGTATAAATTCATAGAATTATGGAAAAGGTGTATTATTTCAATTGATTAAGAATAATTCATACATTGTACGGATTTTTGTGATAAGGATGTTATAGCAGCAATGATGGTGAAGGAGATGGAGTTGATTCAGCAGTTTCAAGACATGAATCTGGCTATAGAGGTAAGGCCCCAGAGTTTGTATCTCGGGACGATGACAATCCATAACGACTTTTTCGTATACATCTGAGATGCTCGGCAGGGAGATATTTTCTTGCAAGATATGATAAGGCAAAAGAGAGAAAAAGGATTTGGAGTTCTATTGCGATGAGAACGGAGTGATTAAGTTTCAGAACTGAGTGTACATTCCCCAAATGGATGAGTTGAGACAGATGATACTTAAGAAGGCACGTAAGAGTAGGATAAGTTTCCACCCTGGTGGGACCAAGATGTATCAGAATCTCCGTAAGAACTTTTGGTGGAATGAAATGAAGAAGGATGTGGCTGAATATGTGTCGAGATGTTTGACCTTCCAGAAGGTGAAGGAGGAGCATCAACGTCCATCTGGATTGTTGCAACCTTTGGAGATCCCTGAGTGGAAGTGGGACAGCATTTCCATGGACTTTACTTCTTGGTTGCCAAGGACCAGGAACAACCACGATGTCATTTGGGTAATAGTGGACCGGTTGACCAAGGCTGCACACTATCTCCCAATCAATATGAAGTATAAGTTAGAGAGAATGGCAAACATATATGTGAGGGAGATAGTCAAGATGCATGGAGTGCTGACTAGTGTGGTGTCCAATAGAGACCCGAGGTTTACCTCAAGGTTTTAGGAGAGCCTGCAGAGGGCGTTGGGTACTAAGTTGAGGCTGAGTTTGGCTTATCACCCACAGATCGATGGTTAGACGGAGAGGACTATCCAATCTCTTGAGGATCTATTAAGAGCCTGTGTGATTAAGAAGCGGAGAACTTGGGAAGAATGTCTGTCATTGGTGGAGTTCACGTACAACAACAGCTTTCATGCTAGCATTGGGATGGCATCGTTTGAGGCCTTGTATGGATAGAGGTGCAGAACTCTTCTGTGTAGGTATAAGATTAGATAGGCTACTGTGTGTGCACCAGACATGGTTCAGAAGCAAAATAAGTAGCTTAAGATGATTACAGAAAAGATGAAGGCTGCACAAGATCAACAGAAGACCTACTATGATAAGAGGAGGAAACCTTTAGAGTTCCAAGTGGGTGACCATGTGTTTTTTAAGGTCTCACCTGTAACCAGAGTTAGAAGAGCTCTAAAATCTCGAAAGCTATCTCCTAAGTTTATTGAGCCATTCGAAGTGCTAAGTAGAATTGGTCCTGCAGCGTACTGGATAGCACTACCCCTGAATCTCTCGAATCTGATGTTTCATGTATCTCAACTCAGGAAGTATGTGTCGGATCTTTCTCACATGATTAACCTTGACCCAATTCAAGTTAAGGAGGATTTGTCTTATAATGTATACCTAGTGAGAATTACGAACCACCGTGTTAAACCACTGTATTAAGCAGTTGAAGGGCAAGGAAATCTCGTTGGTGAAAGTGATTTGGATCTCAAGTGATGAGGGAGATGCCACATGGGAGACGGAGAGTAGAATGAGAGAATTTTATAAAGGGTTGTTTATGTAATTTGGTTGAATTTTAGGGACACAATTCCCTAAAGGAGGGAAGAGTTGTAACGTCCCAAATTTTGTAATATTGTTTGACTATTAATATAAATATATGGGTTGTTATTTAAATGTGTATTTGATGTACATGATGATGTGGATGCTGATTATGCATTGAGATTGGATGTGCTGGACTGATTGAAAAATAGGCTAAGTGTGTGCTGCAGGGGTGTTCTCGTTGTAGCAAGAAGGCCCTGGGCCAGAAGCATGATTCTGTTGTGTTCTTGCCGCAACGAGAGGGCAACAGAGGAGGGTGTATTTCTGGATGCAGTCTCACTGTAATGAGATTCTGCAGAAACCAGAGTGCAGTTTTCTCTGAGATTTTCGCTGTAGCGAGAGGGAGTGTTGTAGATAACCTCTTAACCATCCTATCAAATAAGTGGAAGATTCATTAAACTGTGAAACATTACTCTGCCATAGTGTAATGTGTTTCCAATGCCAATAAAAAGTAACTCATCCAATGGTATTTAACATCCAAAAAACTGCTAAATAAAAAGCATCCCAAGCCGAAATATCACAAGTACCACCTCGTCCCGGACCATTGCAAGGAAAACTATAACCAAAATCTTTTTTATCTGGCATTAACTTAGAACCACGTGCATCCAAAGCACCTTTTACTAAGATCAATGTAGTTGTATGTAAACCAAGAGCAATAGCATGATGAACCAAGAAGTCTCGTTGTAGCGAGAGTGTCGCAACTAGAAAGGGTATTTGAGGGGTTTAGGGTGTATGAAGCTCATTTCTCATCCCTCTCTTCAATTCTCTTGACTCTCAACCCTATTTCACTGTTTAAACTGCCTCCAAATCCATTTGGGTGTAAGATTGAAGATTGAAATCATATTTTGAATGCTTGGAGGTAAGTTCTATGGATTAGGGTTTTAGGTTTTCATCCCTTTCTTTGATTTTTCGATTTCTTATAGGATTTTCCCTATATCTAGGACGAAAGTTCATGTGCAGAGCAATTTTATCGTTCATTTGCATTGTGGATCTTCACTTTTAGGTAAGGGGGACTCTACCTTATCCCTTTGTGTCTTGAATTTGTTTATATTGATGGATAATGCAATTTGGTTAAGATAGGACGTAGAAAGATGTATGTCTAATGAGAATGGCTTGATTATGAATGTATTCTGATAGAAATTTCATGTAAATGTAGTGTGATTGATGTTTGAGTATAATGTGGTAGATGTTGGGGTTTGTGTGTGATGAAATGAATGATTGTAGTGAGATTGCAATGAAAAGATTGCGTAAGTTATAGTGTGATGGAGTTTTGATGGGAATTGATGTTTAGGTGTAATGTGATTGAATGTGGGCATACGTGCCATGTGTAAAATTGAATGTCATGATGTGATTGAGAATGTGGGTGAAATGATTAGACATGCCATTGATTGATATTGAATATTGTGAAATGGGCGAGAATGTGTGTGAATGACATGCTGAGTGTGGTTATGTTTGAATGTTTGGAAAACTATGAATGGTTCAACGATACAGTGGGTTTGGAAGATAGGGGCGATAGAAATACCTTAGGGAAGAAAGGGTGGTGGTGACACCAACAGTAAGCGTGGGTGCACCACAGGCCACACACTCTTCTCCTGACTCGGCCTCTAACTAATACCTTTCCTTGAGGGCTCAGTACCATACACGTTATATTCGTAAAACGGGAGCTATTCGGCGACCATCCATAGTGTGAAACTGAATAAGTCCCTGAGGTTGAGGACATTAGGAACCTATGACCACAGTGCCACAGTGAGCGTGGCTACATGCAATGAGCACACATCTGTGTGGATTGATTGATGGTGCAGTGAGCCTACTTATTTGTGAATTGAATGGAATGTTGAAAATGTATTATTTTACATCTGCTTGACATGTGATTTGAATAATGTTAGAAAAATGTATAATGCACGAGGTGAGTCTTTGTGCTTATGTGTGATAGTGTAGAGTACTCACCCTTATATTTAATTTTCAAGTAACCAAGACGATTAGCACCGGACTTAGTGAAGGGATTGATGGAACTGCTATAGGATTTAGGAAATTATTTTAGAATTTTGGATGTATTTAAATTAAGTCCTGTAGCAATGATTTGATTCAAACTTGTAATTCATCCTTACCTTGAACTACTTTCATGAAACTAAGTATGGGAAACTATTTGAATGAAAATTTTATTATTCCTTTTTTTGAGAAATTTATTTATTTGGAAATTAAATTAAGGTGTTACAGAGAAGATATGGGATATCTTGGAGAAATGTAGGGTGGTGAGTGACATTCGAGGTTGTCCATGGAATATTGTGTACGAATGCACCATATGGCCGCACACTTGTTTCCTGACTTGAATCCTAACTATTACCTTTGCTAAGGGGCTATCGATAAGTCTATTACATGCATTATATCTCCATTGCATTAGGCCATCCGACGACTATTTACATGGATGTGTAAGACTTCATGATAAAGGCATCAAATAACTGTGGCCATAAGACACGATGAGCGTGGATAATGAAAAAGAAATTGTGAATTTGTGAAATATAATATGTGTTTATGTGTTAAGATGAGAAATTACTTTATATGACACTATAATATGTAATACCATGAGTTTTCTTTAATCATGATAAGATATGTGTTATGTATGAGTGGTAGAGTAAAGATTCACCCTTACACAACATTTTTAGGAAACCAGGACGAGTAATACCAAGGTCACAGTGCATGGATGGATGAAAACTGCTATAGAACTTAATTTTTTTGAAACATACAATGATTACTTTCATTTCTATAGCATTCTTTATGGTTAACAATTTGTAAGACTATTATCTATTTTAGATACAAATGAAAATTTAATAACCTTGTTTTCTAAAGCATTTACTGTAATGAAATTTTTACACTATGGTTTATATTATTTTCATACTACTTTCTCACTTACAAGAATGTTCAAAGGAATTTGTTTTATTTTCTTAATTCTTTTATAAAAATATCATGTATTTGAGAAAAGGAAAATAAGGCATTACACTAGACCATCCCTCACTAATATACTAACTATTTTTTACCTATACTTCAAATTCAAGCTGAGATAACCAAGGAGCTAATAATTTGAAATGATTATCTCTCTTAATTGATTATTAGGAAAATTAAGTTTCAATCAGAGAGTTACATGGTCAAATTTAACTAAAGAAATATGAATTAGAGACTAGTGTGAAAATATGGATCGCCATTCATTATTCACAACAATTCTGTCAATTCTTTCTCTTAAATTCTCTTTTTTCCAAGTAAAAGGAACTTTATTAAAATTTAGATTAAAATCCATCCTAACTTTATGTTTCATAGACCCCTCTCCTACTTTTCATATTTATATAAGGCTAGGTTAAAATCCCCAACTACACACATGAGGCAATTAATATTTAAACTAAACTCGATAAGTTATTGCTAAATCAATTTCCTAAAGCATTCTTTAGGACTAACATAAATAACAGATAAAATCCAAGAAAGAGATTAATTATACATATTAATAAATGAATAAAGTGCTTTAATTTTAAATATTAATGATATATTTATCTTTCAACTATCAAGACATCAAATACTCCTAGCAAAGCCTACTGCATCTACTTTAATATAACTATTCATTTTTATCTTCTTTATAGTTTCTTTAACTTTTTGGCTACTAATTCTAAGTTCTAAAATAGTAATAAAACCTAATTTATACATGTTAATGAAGTCATTAACTAATTTAGGAAAAGATTTGGAACTTATCCCTCTAACTTTCTACAACATAAAATTTATTGATTAAGAATAGTTTTAAAAATTGCACTATCTCAATGCCTTGATTTCCCTTGATTTATTATCAATGTTATCATATTATTAGATTTCAAATCCATAGTATTTTTATTTAATAAGCTAGGATCTCTAGCAACATCTATTAATCTTTTCAAATTGAGTGGTCTATCTTTGGAGGAGAGCTCTCTTTCCAAATTCTTAGACCCTTCTTGAACCGGTTGGATTCCTAAAATTTCCTCAGGTGTACCTTTATTTTTATATTTCATTTGGATTTCTTAATGAATGTTATTCATTAACATTAAAATCTATCTATCTTTTTTATTTCTCTCTTCACTCATGTTTGGATCCTCATCCATAATTTTAGTCTTATGTTCAGCTATTTTCTCTTGATTTTTAGTAAATTTTCTATTATTCATCTTCTCTTTTAGATACCTTTTACTAATTACTTGTTGTTTATTAAGACTTATCCTTTCATTCAATTGAGTTGAATGAGTCACATTGTCATTCTTATTAGAAAATTCTTTAGGTTCTTTCATTTTAGTATTTTTCATGTTGCCCTTTACTATTCTCAAGTATAGGTTCTGTTTCAATAGAATTTTGATTCAAAATCTTAGATCTAGATCCTGACACTAACACTTTATATTTACTTGATTGATTAGAGTTTTCCTTACCTCTATTTTGAGTTATTTTTCTTTTTTGAGGTCTTTTTACTAGTATGTAGGAACCAAAAGTCCTTTGTTCATTTAAATTTTTTTATATAAATTATTATGATTTTCAACCATCATTAAACTATCTTTCATATTATCTTTATCTTTATCCTTTAAATTTTTCTAGCAAATTTTCAAAAAATCAGACCTATTAATATTCTAATCATCACCTATCTTTTTAGAACATTTCTCTTATTGATGACCATATTTACCATAACAAAAACAAATATAGTGAAAACTTTTATATTCAATTTTAAATTCTTAACCCAAGACCTTAAAGGAAGGAACTAACCTTCTTAAATCTAGTTCTACACAAATCCTAACAAATTTACCTTTTGATATGATAATATTATTGTTATCAATCTTTAAAATTGTACC